GATGCCAGTATTTAAATACTGAAGTCATTGTTCACGTATTTGTTATGCTTGAGCTGCATCACAGAAAATCAGAGAGAATTGCCTTGCTATTTTCTTTCTGGAGAGTTGAATATTGTTGTAAGAGGTTAGTTATTATGACTCCTAGTGCTCGTCCTGAATGACTTGGCAAACCTTTACTGTTACCCAGAGTTTGATCCTCCAGAAAACAGCGCTCTGTTGTTTGCTTCAAGTAAACCTTGGTGTGGTTTGCAACATGTGCGAAAGCAGTATGCTCCAGCTCCAGCTTCCAGTTTTGACTGGAGTCTGAAGCAGTCTTCATTATCATACTAATCTGGCACAAAAAACTACCAATTTCCCTTGGCTATTTTTGAGAAGATAAATGTTTTTTACACATGATTTCTCTGTGTGATTCTCCTTTTTTTGTACAACACCAAGGCTGTCACCTAAACAGATATATTGATTTAAGCCGAAATCCATCTGTTCATGAACAGATACTCATTTATCATAGTTGGAATGCAGAACTAAGTATTATCTACCCTTATCTATAATCTGCTGCACTACAAGACCTACAAGCCTGTGTGTACAAAGGTAACATACGGAAGTGCACAGTCAGTCCACAGTTTAGAGGAAATTCTCCTGTGTGAGAACAAACCTTCAGTAATGAGCCCCTTCATCTAACCAGCCCAGAATCGTTTCTGGGTGTGGTGTGGAAACGCCCAAATTGGACACTGTGTACACGTGATTGCTGCACACGCACACCTAAGACTTGCTCCCTGCAGATTTCCCTCTTCCCTGTGGAATATTCCAGTGTCTGAGGCAACATTGTGATACTGTAAGCCCAGCTCGGTGCTCTCTGACTGGGAAACAGAGTTATTCACGAGCCCCTTAAGAGGATTTTCTCCCTGACGACAGCGGTGCCAGGTAGAGAGGTCAGAGCTGGGTGAGCATTAAAAGAGCGGCTTTGCAAGAGTAGAGCGCTGGAAAGGTTTAGAGAAACAGTTTAGCATTGCACTGAAGACCAGCTGGGAAATAAGCTTGTGGGGTGATTATTATTGAGCCTCTCTTTCTCCTTTTTGATTCCCCCCCACCCAGCCCATAATTCAGATGAATATTCATGAGAGCAGTGTTTTTTTAGGGCATCTCTCATTATTAATTAGGTGTAATCCAGAGCAGTGAAAGCGTATGGCGGGAGTTTATCAGGGATTTGGAAGCCGGGCTGTGTAGAAGCCGAACGCACACCGCAGATTTGGCCTGCGTTCCACTGTTAGTATTTGCGGTACTGCCAGTCGAATTCGCACTGTTGCTGCCACTCAAATTTGGCCTGTGCGAACTTGCCATATGCTGAAATCTAACAGCATACCAGAGGCTTATAGAGACACAGTCTCTTTCATATGTTTTCATTTGCAGATGATTTGTTTCCTCTTTCTTTTTGATACAGTGTTTCATGATTTTATATTTACACCCCTGATCAGAAGTTTGGAATCACTTAGCATGTTAATAATGGGTGTTAATTTATTCAGAAATAACTTATGCAGTGTGGGTTGAAATACTTTGAAAACTTGACGGCAGAGGCTGTTTTGAGATGCTTTATTCAATATTTAAAGATTTTGGCATGTTATTAAAAACGTACTGTAATTATCCATTTTCAGTAGTTCCTTGATAAGTTATCCGCCTCGAGATTTGATAACCACTTTTCAAATCTGAGTAGGTATGATATCGGAATCATTGATATCGACAGATAATTGCTTAAAAATGTTTGAGCAGATGTTTAGATTTAGTTGATATATTTTATTTTATTTTTATATTCCTATCATAAGTGGAGCACTGACTCTGTCTTTTCCTTTCTGTGCAACCACATTAAAAGACAATCAAAGCATCTTTCAGTCAGTGTCGCTGTGCGTCCAGCTCTTCTTATCAAATTGCTGAAGCATTATTCTAAAACTCCCAGCTTCAGCATCTGTTTAGACATGATGATAAATCATTGCAAATTTTATATTCGTATATCGGCATGTACAGACACATACATGGGAAAAATATCAGATATTGCCATCAGCCCGCAATCCCCATATTCTTAAATAAGAACTATTCTAGATGTTAATTTTAGTATATCTTCTTTTCTAAATACAGTTCCAGTTATGCAGCTGGATTTATGGAATCTTCTGCAGCTCTGTTTATAATTCTGGACACAGCATTTCTTATAATTTTACAGCTTCCTACAAATTAGTTGAAACCTATAAGGTTTGCGGAGTACGAGCATCATATTAGCGTTATGGCTGACAAACAATTAAAATAATTACGTTCACAAGTCAATCACATTTTTTGTGTAGTTAGTCGTGATTGATCACAGTTGTATTATTTGCTCAAATGTGACCCTAAAGAGTGCATTTTACTGTAGCCATGTGAGTGCAAAATAAGCTTCATCACAATTAGGCTTGTCACAGTTATTACATAATCGTCTTATCGTAGTTATTTGAGATGATTACAGTTATTTAAGCTGACTGCAGTCATTTTTCACACTTGTTTGATTTCACAGTCGTATTATGCTGCAACAAACAAACTGTGAATTGTGTGTGGGGTTGAGGCAAATAAATGGAAATAAGCAGTAAATGCATTCATTAAGCCATCATGGGTCATGCTGAGTAATGTTTATGTAGCTAATTCTAACATTTTTAGCATGTATGTTGGCAGAATAAGTGATTTTATTTATTACATTTTCACTTTGGTGAAGAACGTGTAGCTTTGCTTGACTCAACACATCATTATGTGTATCTGTTGATATTTGTGTGAGTGTGTGTGCACAACTTTGTTGATTTGACGGTACAACCAGCGTTAGCTACTAAGTAAGATGGCCAGTCGGCCGGTTTGGCCACTTTAGGATTCTGTTTTAATAGTTGCAAACAATGAACAAGACAGTTAAATCATCAATTGCAATTATTTATATGATAATCTTCGGCTAAAAATTCATGATTGTGACAGCCCTAATTACATTTCTTTACTTCAGTAATTCAGTAACAGTATTTTCATCATCTAAACACACACTTTAGAACTGCAGATGAATTGAAGGGTCAAGCTAGGAAAATTCGGTAATCAAAACACATTGTTAACAAATGAACTTGGACAGTTTTATTTTTATGTACATTTGTTTTACATCATGGAAAACAGGGATTCCAAACTTTTCAATGGTGATCCCAAACTTTTGCATGGTGGTGTAATTAAGGTATTAATTAAATGTCCCCAAATGCGCCATGGAATCTTGTGTGTGTTTGATATTTGTTTACATGTGAGGAATTCTTGAATCCTCTATTGAGCAATTGTACATGACTGCAAATGTCAGTCCACGCATGGGACTATTAGGCAAATCACTGTGCAGTCTTCACAGGATGTTATTAGGCGCAGAAACAAGGAATGACTTTTGGAAAAAAACAGTCATCAGCGTGATGCCACTGTCACAGCTGTGTTGTGACTGCAGTTAAACATTGTTGCTTTTTCCCCATCATAAGTGGTGCGCTGCCTCTGTCTTTTCCTCACTGTTCAACCACAATGAATGTATTTGGACAGTTAAGGCATCTTTTGCTACTTGGCGCTGTGTGTTCAGCTGTTCTCATCGAACGCTGAAGCTTTATTCTGAGGTTCTTACTGTGAGCACATCCCAGCTTCAGCATCTGTTTAGACATGAAGATGAATCGTCACAGTCATTCTGCTGCATTCATTGTCTGATTAGATGTATTAGGGGTGGTGGTGTTGTCTGGTGGTTCGTGTTCCTGTTGTCTTTGTCATTTTTCAAACAATGGGGTTTAACGTTTAATGGAGCTTACCAAATCACCTGTGCGAGACACATCGATACGTCTTGCCAACTTCTTTGGTACTTTTCCCCTTCTTTAGCCTTGAGGGAGGAGTGGCATGAACATCATTGAGCTTGTTATTAAAGTGGACCGCATCATGGCTGATTCTTAAGCACCATATCGTTTTGCCACTGAAAGTGTAGATTAAAGCAATGGCTCAAGTTTAATGTCTTTTATATCCAGTGATATGTTAAACCGAATAGCCTGAAGTCCTTTCGTCTTTCTTCGTTCCTTCTTATTTAATCATAAATGACTTTTTCAATAATGCAACACAGTTCTGCTTTTTCTGTAACCTCATAGTGTGAAGGAGATACAGCATCATGAGCTCAAAATCAGTTTCTGTCACAAATGTTGCGTTTTTAAAGAAGTCCAGTATGTTTGTGCAGCTAATGCAGGGCTGTTACCTGTTGCTAATTCCCTTTAGAAATAATCACCTTTAGCACTAGGCCTGGGAGATATCTAAAACATAATTATCACAATTTTCTGCTTAAAAAATTATGATTATCAATAATACTAAGCGATTTTTAAAGCCATGCCCAAGTGGTTTGCAAATTAAAAACAAGGTGTTTTCCGTCATTATAGCACCGTTTTCATAATTCAGCTAACAACCGGGACACTTACAGTGTCAGCTGTACAGTGTCAGCTGTACAGAAAATAGTGCACATTTTACTCAGTGAATCAAACGCAGACACATTGGGGAATTTACTCTACTGTAGCCTTTTCTGAAGGCCTCGTTATAGATCAGTGTTTTGACAGACATAGTAAATAAAACATACAAATTATTCAATATTGTTTATTATCCTTTTTCCGAGAACACCAGCCGGGAATCAGAAGAACTTTTTGTCAAGGTTAGAGCTAAATTAGTACCATCTGGTCTAAGGTGTGTTGCGCAGACAAGGCTGCTCAGCCTGGCCTTGTCACTCTGGTGTCCATATTTGGCTAAAGCTAACCTCAGAAGGCTGACAATTCCTTCATGTTCACTGCCTAGAAAACAAGGTGAGCTACTTCAGACGCAACAGACTAGACAGTGGGAGGGGATTATGGGACTGCTGGGACTTCTGCATTTTCATTTTCACTTGAATTGTGACTGTAACAAATATGGCAAAAAAAATATTGCGATGCTTTGAGAAGTTTTCACGAAACGTCACTTCTTTTCAGAGATTTGATCAGTTGGAACTGAGAAAGAAGAACCAGTAGTGGTACATTTTAATAAATACTAGGAAAAACTGTGAGTACAAAGATTTTCATTCAAAATTTGACATGCGTTGTTGCACCAAATCCAGTGTTCTGCAAGTACTGACGATATGTTTAGAAAAGCTTATTATATTGTATTGTGACGTAATTTATCACGTTAATGATGCATGTTGTCATATTGCTCAACCCTAGTTCCTGTGTCTGTAACCTTCAAATAAAGTGTTGCAGAGAATCGTTTTCTAACATGTAATCTGCAGCTGATTTACAGTGTGTCGACTCAGTCTGCTAACATGCATTTGAGACATGTTAGCTGGAGGAAGATTGCAGGAGAGATTGATGGGAAGGCTTGGTTCCGGCTGCCTGCCGCAGATCATTGTCAGCCAGTGTTTCAGATGTGCAAGAGGAGTGATGGATGTCCTGAAACAGCCTCCTCCTGTCCCACTTTCTCTATCTCTCTCTCTCTCTCTCTCTCTCTCTCTGTCTCTCTTTCTCTCTCTCTCTCGCTCTCGCTCTCGCTCTCTCGCTCGTTTTCTTAGTTTCTTTTTTATGCTCTCATCTTTCTGCCTCTCTAAGCCTCAGTGCTTTCTGTGCTTCCATGCCTCCATCTCTTGCGCGCTCGCTCTCTCTCTTACACTCTTTCTTCTCTGTCTGTCTGTCTGTCTTGCTCGTGTTCTCTTTCTCTTGTGTTTTCTCTCTCTCTCTCTCTCTCTCTCTCTCTCTCTCTCTCTCTCTCTCTCTCTCTCTCTCTCTCTCTCTCTCTCTTTCTCCCCCTCTCTCTCTCTTCTCTCTTCGCTCTGGATTCTTCTTGTGGAGCATGAATCATAAATCCTGATATGAAAGGGAAGCCTTTGATTAGTGAATAATATTTTGCGCATATGCGCAGTTCAGATACGGGTGAATAATCCTCCCCCTCTCTTCTTCCTCTGCTCTCCTCCTTGGAAAGCCTTCCTCATCCTCCTTTTCTCCCCCCCTCCCCCAACTCTCTGCCTTATCAACAGCTTCACTGAGATAGCGTGATATCGCGCTGAGGCTTTTGAAGCGCTCCTCATTGAAAGGCTTTTGATTTCACACGTTGGCTGCTTAATATTCCCGACTAGTTAGCAATCTTTTCAGAAACCAACAAGGTGCTGAGGATGCGGGCCTGGCCTTTTATTCTCTGACAGCTAGCTGAGGCCCTCTCACTCTCAGACCCAACGGGGGGTGTTGGGAGGGGGCATGCAAAACAGCTTTCTCTTCTTGAAGGTCCTCTGTATGTGTGAGTTAGAGCTTTAAATATTTCTCCAAACGTGATGGGACTCGAGTTTGGTTGGGGTGAAACATCATTTCTTAGTTGTTTGTTTGTCTCAGGTTTGGATTGGGTTCACAGTTCACGCTTGAGTTTCTCCTAGCCGTGTACCACCTTTTAATTAATTGTGTCCTGAGTTTACCCCGCTTTAGTTTCATTTCAGCCTACCTAATTATTCTTCTCGGCTTTTATTATCTAAAAATTTTAACCTGGTATGCTGGAATTGTGGTTGTTGATGAGGGAGATCGAGGTCCATGAGGGCACCATGTGATGATGGCTGCCATTGTTAGGTTAACTAATTGGTTGGGCCTGAATGACACTTTGAATACTGGTTCATATTTCTGAAGAAGTTGAATAGTCGTTTTCAAAATCGCTTTTACGATGATTAAAATAGAAGTGCATTAAAACCCTTTTAGTCCTCCGAACCAAACAGATGCACTTCCATTTTAATCATTGTGTAGGGCTGGGCGATAAAACGATAAGTATCGCGATATAACCTTTCCTCGATAGAGCGATAAGACAGGTTCAATAAATGTTCGATATAACACACTGTTCTCACACTTCCACGTTTTAGCGAAAGCCCTGGTGGCATTTTCTACTGCAAGGAAAGCGACACTACTCTGCTGTCGCCATCTTTCCAGGCTAGCTGTTTTTAGCTGCTGGCTAACTTGAAGCAGTGCTCCGGCACAACACCGTGATTTGATGATACGGTAGATCAAACAAGACATAAAATCACTTTCAGTTTAAACGTACCTAAAAGGAGGACTCTGTGACTGGTGTGAGAGATTCACACTGCAGATAATGCTTTTACACAGCGAACGTCAGATATACTGCGGTTCACCCCTTAAACTACTACGATAGCATAGAAAAATCCAGTCGTCGCTAGCTGCTGTCTGAATACTGTGATATGCTCTGACATGGATGTGGTAGGAGTGACAGCAGTGACCTACCGAACCGAGTTGACGTTGTTGAGAAACTAAAGAGTTTAGCACTGTTGTTGGCCACTTGTTTAGCATTTGTAACGGGGTAGCCGAGCGCTCGTCAACAGACAGCTAGAAATAATCTATTTTCATTCTTAAATCATGACTATTACAAAAATTGCAGCTGTGCTTTTCCAGCTGATAAAAACAGCTAAGAAACTTTCTCCCACTCTCCCAAGACAGATTTGTGAAATGTTCCAATGTTTGCCGAGTGTTTGTCATGATCCGACCATAAGTGATAGTTTAAAACCACAATTAACCACCCAGGAGCAAAATCAGCCTTCAAACGTGAAAGAAATCATGATTTGACATTTATCGCGATATGTATCGATATCGAACGATATGAATTTTGTTTATCGTGATAACGTTTTTGGCCATATCGCCCAGCTCTATCATTGTGTCAGTCCACACTGGCTGCACTACATGTGTGTCTGTTTTCGCTTGCAGGTGAAGGTGAAGTGTAAACTCCACACTCTCACATTCTGTAGTGATATAAACTATAATTAAACCAATAATTTACTAAAATGTGATGACCTTGTTGGTGTGGTGGTTGCAGAGCAGGTCCTGTGCTGATCTAATGGTGTATGGAGGCTACATTTCTCTGATACAGCAGTAAAAAGCTTGTGATTCATAACAATGAACAGATGTACTGTTTGTGATGTCAAGTTAAACCTGTTAAAACTGTTTAATTAGAAAAGAAAAAAAAGTAAACATTTTATCTAACTGCATTGGTTATGTGATGAAGGCAGTGTGGATCACAGAGATAATTGTGCTTACATATTTGAGATGATTTATCAAACTTGTCGTGCCTCCGGGTGATGCGGCAAAAATAAAGGATTGTTCAAGATATTCTTACGATGCAGGAGATGCATCATGATATTTAGTTTTTCTGAGGTTTAATATGTTGGAACAGATAAAACAGAACATGTAGAGCTACACTGATTTTAATTCAATGTTTTACAAACTGCACTGCACTGAATCCAAATAAACAGGCCTAAATATGCTCCCATTGTAATGAAACGTAGTTAGTCACACATCTGTTCCGTACTGACCATAACCATGATATGCTCAGAAAAGTATTGTGACATAATTTATCACGATAACGATAAAATATCATATTGCCCGACTCTACCCTGTAGTGTACCAGCCTCTTACCACAAAGTTTGCACTGGGCATTTTTATTATCCGATTAAAAGCATGTGGCTTCTTTTTGAAGACATCTTTGCTCTTTTATGTTCAATAGTCACTGGGAAAGCAGCGTGGTTTCATGCACTCTGAGCACAGCTGTAATTTATTTCTTTTAAAATGAGTTTCCATAAGTTAACAATAACTGTTTTATCCAAACGGCGTTGCTACCAATTTCTTTTTAAACTATAATTTTTGAGGCATAAAAAGATGAAACTTTTGAACAGTGAATGGAGAATTGAATACCAACATAATGAACAAATACTTGTGTATTTGAATTATTTAGGCCAACCCTAGTAAGTTAACATTGTCACTTAATGATTTCAAAGTTTTACTCTGTCTCTGTCGTGTAGTGGTCAGATTTGGGTGAGTTTTTTACAGAATTTTTCCTGACTCAAAACTTGGTGCTTTGGGTCAAATTCGAATATTTTTTGACTGTATTCATGTTTAGCTGTAATGTCAGGCCTGATTAATGCTCCAGCACGAGTGCATGTGTAGGTGTGAGTGAGACAGAGATGGTGTATTGCTGTATCTCTGCTATCACACCGGGTGGTTTGGAGTGAGTAACACGCTCCCTGGACACCCTCATGTGGCGTGGGTCTGCTCAGTGCCATCACTGAAGTATTAGCCTATGTGAACTATGCGTTCATCATCAATGAATAATCACACATGCCCCGGAGCCAGGCGCCAGCTTTCGCCCTGGCAGACGTTTGACTGCGCGTCAGCTTGTGTGGTTTCTTGAGTTGAGGGAGGCGGCCTTGTCCTCTTCAGCCACGGAGCTTTGAAATCTCAGTCTCTTCTTGCCTGTTTTATGTTTCAGGGATTCAGGCTATTTATGCATCAGGAGATGCAACGGCGAGTCCAGCCCCGGTTTTCAACTCTCTCCCTTTTTAAGTCTCTGAGCTCCAGGGCCTACGTGCCGGCTTTAAGCCCAGCTGGAGTGACTCTGACACGGTGGTGCTCTCGCTCAAACCTCCCTGAGCCTCCCTAGAGCCAGAGTCCGTCCTGAGATTTGCTGGAGTGGCCTTTCTGAGGTAGCCTAGATAAGAGATCCTTTAAAAAGACTTCATTTGCATTGACTTTAGTGCACCGCATGAGCATTCATTAGTACTCCATGGGTTTGAAGTCATAGCTTCTCTCCGAAAAGGTCTCCTTTTTAGCTTTATGTGAGCGGCGCTTTCTTTGAATTGATTTGTACCTTTTTGCTCCGCTTTGAGGTATGAATAGGCTAAAAAATGCAAAAGAATACAGAGAAAAGAATGAAAGGTCTGCCTTTTGCTTTCTTGTGCTTTTCGCGATGCAATGGAACGCCTCATTTCTCTGTTTTGGCAGTGGTGTGGTGTGACACATTTGCAGCTGCATTAGTTAATGTTTAAAATGAGCGAAGATGAAAAGAGGGAGATGGAGCTGTGGAAATGCTAACTGTGTAGTCTGTGAAGTCAGAGGAAGATGGACAGATTGATAGAAGAATGAGAGATATTTAGAATGTCATGAGCATAAGAAAGAGTCAACAGTGAAAGAGCTGCTGGAGTCAGCAGTCTCAAATCCACAATGGACACTTGAGGCTTATCTTCATGTAGACTC